ATATCAGCCACTTCTTCTATTTGTCTGTGGTATACGCCGTGCAGCGGCTTGTCCCTCCATGATGGTTCTCCTTTCTTGTCCTCACTTTCGGTTTTCTCCTGCCTGAGGTATTCACCAATCCATTTGTCTTTGGGGGCCATCTTTCTAATGTACTCCTGGATCTTAGTTGTTTCATCCTGGACAGTGGTCTTGACACTCACTAGCCCTCGGCCTCCCTCGCTACGCTTGGTGTACTGTCTCAGAGTGCTGGATTTGGGGTGGAACCCTCCATGCATTGTGAGGAGCTTTCTCGTCTTGATGTCAGTAGCCTCTGTCTCCTCCTTTGGCCAGTTTATTATATATAAATATATATATATATATATATATATATATATATATATATATATATATATATATATATATAAAATAAAGTATAATCAACCAAAAGTTTTGTGAACCCCATGCAGTACCTCCACGGACCCACTAGGGGTCCCTAAATTTTAGGGAACAAATAACGTCAAATTACAAACAAATGATTATCTGATCAAATTGGTGCTTTTTTGTAGAGTTCAATTGTTTGCCGTTCTCCACAAATGTTTTCTGTATTTACTTTTAATTCAATTTAAAACAATTAATTTGTTTAATACTTATACCTGATCGACTCTCACTCGATGTAAACGGTGACGGTAATCTTCTCATTACCGCCACCTGCTGGACTGAAAGTGTAGTGCAGCTTCTCTTAGAAGCTTCAGGGTTATGAGAAAATGTCTCGGATATATCCCTGGGATTTCTATTAGCCAAATAATATAGTTCCTGTGTGGAGGATCAGCTTTACCATATTTAAAAATGAATAAGTGCACGTTAAATAAGTAAGCATACAATTAACTGCCCCCAAACATACCCAAATTTATTTGTTAATAGTATTCTGGGTGCAATTAATTGTAAGCTTATTTATTTATTTAGTATTTATTTATATAAAAGCTGGTCCTCCTCCTCTTTTTTTTTTTTTTTTAAATGAGCTGCAAAGCTCCTGGCTTTATCCCGGTAATGGGAAACAGCGCCCTCTGCTGGTAGAATGTTGGATTAATGTTGGTCCTCCTTAAAAATAACAAACATGGCGTTTCTTTTTTCCGTGTTGGTGGGGTGAAGTGTGACGTCCGGGCCCCGCCCTGCATGAGCCAATGTTATCAGCTTCAAGTGTGCCACGGAGGGACCGAAGCTGTCAAAAGTCCACAGACATGATGAACTCCTGAGTCCAACGGTCACCGTCGCGTGCCTGGTCCTTTGATGTCTGCCGCGCCGCATTTCTACACAGCAGCTAGTCTGCAGGAGGACCTGGAAGTGTGCGGCAGCCAAACTGCGTCTGTGCTGATTTAAAAAAGAAAACAAACTGAAGTGAGGTCCGGGGGGAACAGCAAGCATGTCCGAACCGAGTAGATTTGTGAGTCCGTTTCACAGACCGCAGTTTGTTGCTGCTGCGGCTCCGGCGGGGAAAGCCAAACTAACGCATCCGGGGAAGGCTATTCTGGCAGGTAAGGAAGAGGAGGCAGCTCCTGCTGTCACCTCCTTTAAACAACTTTACTCACCCGCAATGTGCTCATCTATGGAAATACATATTTGGGTTTTTACCTATCAGTGGCGGATCTAGACCAAATGTACCAGGGGGCCAGGAGGGGGCCAGGGTGTTTTCATGGGGGCCCAGAAAAGCATGAAATAAAAAAACAGGGCAAGAGATTCTAATATATTAACTATGGCTGAGTATTAGAACTAGGCTATATATA